TGCACCTCTCTCCCTCTCTTATCTATGTGTGTGTTGGATCTTCATAGAAAACTATGATGATAAACTATATATCTCTCTACTGTCACAAATGTTCCTATAAACAACAATTATTTTGTTACTTTAATGAAGTTTTGTCCTAGAAAGTTATTGTAAAAATAGTAAGAAAATTGTCTCAAATGAAACCTTAAATGATTCAATCAGCATTAACGAATTTTTGTTTTTTCACTGAGACAGGGTTTTTTTTTGTATCATGATAAAATAAAAATATAATTTTATTTTTAATATGAATTTACTTTGATTCTTTTGTTTAGTAAGTCGCATAAAGAGATGTAAGTGAGGAAAGTACACTTATAAGTCAAATTTGACTAGCTAATGAGCTCACGAGTCGAGCTTATCGAGCTGCAGATCGAGCTTAGCCTAGCTTGATTCGCAAGCTTGTCGAGCCACTCAATTTAAATTTAAATTAGCATTATTTTAAATTAATGTTTTATAATTAATAGTAAAGTTAAAAAACATGCAACAACTAGCTAACTTTTTTATTATGACTAAAATATATTTTATTTTTACATTAAAAGTAAAAAAAAAATCTATAAAACATAAATATTTTAATTTAAACTAAGAAATTGAGCTCAACAATTATGTCAAGCTCGAACTTTCCAAACGAGTTCAAACAATCGATACAAGCCCAAGCTTTAAAAAAAAATTTATAAGTCGAGCTCGAGCTTAATAAAAATTAAATAAGCTAAGCTTAATTAGACAGATAACTGACTCCACTCGACTCGGCTCCTCATTTCGTATTAAAAAAACAATTTTGAAACGTGTGGTAATGCAAAATGGGCAATGTTGCAAATATAAAAAGGCGGCTCAATATATTATTTTACTTTGTTGGTTACAATGGATTGAATAATCCGCAGCAAGAGCACGTGCGACTTTTTAGACCTTATTGGATGGAATAATGAGCATCACGGAAAGGAAGTTTTGGATTAAATAAATTCATTGTATATGAAATGTTTTATGATATTTAGTTGGTTATTGAATAAATTTAAGATTTTTTTATTTCTATAAAATAAATCCTTAAATAAATTCATTGTATATGAAATGTTTTATGATATTTAGTTGGTTATTGAATAAATTTAAGATTTTTTTTATTTCTATAAAATAAATCCTTATCTTTTTCATTTGTTAAATGAAATTTCCTTTTAGGATGTTATGGTTGAGCTGTGAAAGTAGAGGGTGGCGGTGAATGATGATGATGGTTAAAGCGGTGGTGGTTATGGATGTTAATATTTGATACGACACAAAAATCTGACCCGAACATTTTGGGTTAGACCCTACCCAATTTCAAAATGGGTCGAGTTCAGGTTCCCTAATTTGACCTATTTGAAAAACGGGTCAGGTTCGGGTTGACTCAATGGGTTGCCGGGTCAACCCGGAAGCCCGTTTGAAATGAGCTGCCCGTGCCAGTCAAGCGGGTCGGGTCAACCCGGCAACCCGTTGGGTCGGGTCCGGGTTTGAATTTTCGACCCGTTCACATACCCTGGTCGGGTTATGGTCGACCCGATGAACCCGGGTCAGTTCCGGGTTCAACCCAAAACTCGATTTTGACACCCCTAGTGGTGGCCTCAACATTGGCTGACAATAGGTAGTAAAAAATGCTGGTGGTTGTCGATGGTAGGTGTAGGGAGCGAAGGTTATCAATGATGGTGATGATTAATAGTGGCTCTGCCGTTGGTGGCAGTGAGTGATGGCGATGATGTGAGATAGAGACTGATAGGTGATGGGTGACAACGACAAATGTAAATGGCACATTGGTGATATGAGCAAATGAAAGAACCATCATATAGACTCCGGATCAAGATCATATCCTATTTATATAGTAGCTTATTTTAGTTTATTTTGATTCATCATATAAATAAAAGGAAATATTGATTTCTATATGTATTACACAAATTTATCTCAATTAATCATAAATATAAAAAATTCAATAATAAACCTTAATTTGATCATTAGTTCATAGTCATAAAATTTTCTCTGACATATAATGTATAATTAATATTAACAGATTAAAAATTTTTCAACAATCTCCTACTTGAACTATTTACCACTTTACTTTTCATACTAAATTTATAATTTTTATGTGCTTTTTCATTTCGTTCAAAAAATTTATGTATTAAAAAGCTATTTTCCCTATAATAATTTTATAATTATCTTTACAAAAAATTGCAAGACTCCTTATATTCTAGTAATTTGCTTTATCAAACACGATCTTATTTCCTAAAAAAAACTATGCAAAATTTTCAAAAGCAAACTTCTCTAATCTGAATTACTAACGAGACTCCAATATAGAAATCAAAACTCAATATAAAATATAAAATAGGCTAATTAAGGAACTTTTATTTGGTCCGGTCACAGGACGTAGCTCTACATTCGGCCGTCAATAGAATCGCGCCACGCGATCATATTATTTACCGCGCGGCCCGACAACCCGACCCGGAACGGTCCCAGGATGGCTCGGTATTTCTCGATTTTGCTAGATATTGCTCGGTATTGCTAGGTATTGGTCGATTTTGCTCGGCAATAATCAATACCGAGAAAATACCGAGATATATCGAGCAAATACCGAGTAATACCGAGAAATACCGAGTTGTACCGAGTTTTTCTAGAAAAACTCGTTACAACTCAGTATTTCTAGAAAAAACTCGGTACAACTCGGTATTTCTAGTAAATTTTGAGTTTTTCTAGAAAAACTCGGTAAGAAAAAACTCGGTACAACTCGGTATTTCTCGGTATTACTAGGTATTTGTCTTCAGAGAGCGGTATTTCTCGATATTGTCAAGCAATACCTAGCAATACCAAGCAATACCGAGCAAATACCGAGTAATACCTCGCAATACGCGAACATAGCATTCCCGGGTTCCGGTCCGAGTCAAGTCGTCGGGCCGTAAAGAGTAAGAGCACGTGGCGACATATTATTGGCGGCCGAACGTAGCTCTACGTCCGGTCAGAGCACGTAATAATTGTTCCTAATTAAGACTTTGGAGGACTACAATCTTACTGTTTTTGTAAAGCTTTTTTTTAGTACAAAAATATCTTAAAAGTAGAGAAAAAAAAATAGTGATTTTAAAATTGTCCCAAAGCCTAAGGCTTCATTTGGGACGGCTTTCTTATTGTTTTTTAAACAGTTTTTTTGTACAAAAGTTAAAAAATTTGTACTAGAAAATTGTTTTAAGAAGCAGGAAGAAAACCGTCTAAAATGAAGCCTAAGTCAAAATTCCATCATGATTTTTGTTTTGAATTTTGAGCAGTTGTTTTCTTAATTCAAATAGGACTATGATTTTTAGGTTGACTTTTGAATTCTAAACTTTTATTTTGATTCTTTCGTTGAATAAGCTGTGAGAGCTTTAAACAAACAGAATTCAACGCGTTGAAAGGGAACATGAAATCAAATTCAACCGTTTGATTAACTGTCGTTGAAAACTTATATTTCCTCTCCGTTTAGTGCTCTTTATAATATTTTTGGAGGAAAAAAAACCATAGGAGTGCCAGCAGTTTCTGCACTATTTTTAAGAATCTTGCTATGCTCTGCTCTCCACGAGAAATTATTGTAACGCAGATTAATGTTTGGATGCTGCGTATTTTTTTATACATTATTTTTTCGTGGCAAATAAGCAGCAAATAAATAATACTCATTAAATACACAATAAAGACGCAAAAAGTACAACGAAAAAATTATGTATAAAAAATACGCAGTAAAATAAGCAATAAATACGTAGCATTCGAACCTTACTCTGCACTCGGATTGCGTACACAATAATTTCTCGCTCTCCACACCACTTCTCATTTTGTCTAATATTTATTTATTTATTTCTATGAATCTCTTGCTTAGATTTTACTAGAAAGACTATCTTATGCTCTGTGGATGTCGAATGCATCAACAACTTTTGTTGGTTTGTCTAAGATTTCGTTTGGGACGGCTTTTTTATTGCTTTTTAAAATAATTTTTTATTAAAAAATTAAAATTTTATACTATAAAGCTGCTTTAAGAAGCAGAAAGAAAGCTGTCTCAAACGTGATCCCAAATATGGAACAACTTTCTTATTGCTTTCTAAAATAATTTTTTACAACAAAAATATCTTAAATTAGAAATTTTTTTATTAAAAAGTTGCTTCAAAAAATAATAAAAAAATTATCGTAAATAAATACTAACTTAATTTTGTTTTTAGCGATGGCATGTTTATAGTTACAACATTGTCTTTTTCTCCTGATGAGACAAACAAGAGTGAATGAGACAATCCTAGCCCCATCAAACGAAACAAACAAGTGCAGAGAGGAAAAAAAATTGAAAAAAAATCTCGAAATAAATTATATCATTGCTATAACTTTTTGATATCATATATAGAATTAATTTCAACACAAATCTACTTAATATATATCCATCGCAATCTAGGGGTGTAACGAGTTAAGTCGAGATTGAGTCACAGTCATAACTTATTTGAGCCTGAACTTGATTAATTATTCAAATTTGAATTCTAGCTCAAACTTAGTTCTTTGAGACCAAGCTGGCTCTTTTATAACGAAAGAGAAAAAAAAAAGTTTTTGATTCAAATAATTGGTATAATAAAATTATAAAAATAATGAAAATTTTGAAGATAAATAATAAAGAATAACCTCATATAAGAAAGAAATATAAATTTTAAATATTTTTAATAATTTTATACTTAAATTCTTAAATTCTCATATATTTTAAATATATATTAGTATTTCCTAAACGAGCCAACTCTTGAATTGAGGTTAGCTTAATTTTGACTAATTAGCTCATCAAATTTAGCTCATAAGCTATTTATTGAGACTAATTTGAGCTGGCTCATAAGTCGACTTACTACACTTGCACCTCTATCATTGTTCTAAACACAATTTTATTTCATTGCCAAATATTGATTAGAACGATTATTCAGCCGCCCCATATGAAAAAAAACTGGAAAAGTAAGACTTGGGCTGTCTCTGCCTTCTAATGCAGAAGCTTTAATCAAGAGAAATATTCAGGCTCAAAAAATTCCAATAGAAAAGACATTGAGAGCTTGTATGACATCATCTGATGACAAATACAGAACATTAGCCATCAGGTGGTGGAGAGATTATTACGTGCGAGACCGTTCATAGGTGAATCGGACGCGCCACATCATCCGGATGCACCGGGCCCTAGGTGACATTGCACGTCCGGATTTTCCTCTAAATGAATCCGGACACGGCACGTAATAATTTTCCCAGGTGAGAGTTATTACGTGCGGTATCCGGACCGTCCAGAGGTGCATCCGGACACCGCACGTAATAATTTTCCCAAGTGAGAGATTATTATGTGGTGTCCGGACCGTCCAGAGACAAATCTGGACGCACCACGTCACCCGGTGACAAGTACCCCGAAAACTCCCATGCAAAATACATCTCTAAATTATTTGTTTAGAACAACAATCAAGCAGAAGCACTTTCAGGTGCATAATTACTGGAACAGCACTATCTTGCAGTGCTAGAGACAATCATAACTCAGAATTTTCCTTTAGCCATTAAGCAATCTCTTCTTGGAGGATTGCATGGTGGAAAGGAGGAGCTTGAAGATGTCAAAGCAGAGAATCCAGATATGCTTGATTCTGGAGCTTTATTATGTTCTCCAGATCAGAAAATGAAGACTGCGAAAGCAAGAGCCCCTGGCATGGCAAATAGCACAAGCACAAGGTTCCAAGAGGAAGAACAGCTGCTGTGTCAAGACTAAAAATGAAAAAGAAAGTCTTTGGGAGTTATTTTCACATAGAAAAGAAAAGCTGGAGACAGTACAGAAGAAATGAATCGGCTGAATAAGGCTGTAATGCATGAATTACTGTGCAAAACAGCTACACAACTTACTGTCAATTTAAAATATATTTCAGGACTAAATTAAGGCATGGGCGGATCCACCTTAGGGTCGAAAGGGCAATTGCGAAGCCCCCCTTTACCACCGAAAAAATAAAAAAATTCTGTATTATATGATTCTTTAGGTAATTTGTCCCCCTCCATATATTTTTTTAGTTTTTATAACAAGTATTTTTAGGCAATTGCACCCCCCCCCCCCCCCCCCCCCCCCCCCCGCCTCTCCCCTAAAAGTTTTAAAATACTATGGTCTTTAGACAATTCCCTCAACATAATTAAACATATTGTGTAGAGATGTTATTGTTAGGTCGAACCCCGTCAGAGGGCGCTGCCCCCTTGGACCACCGACATATCTACGAAGCATACAACGATGAATAAATAGAGGTCGAGAGGCAGCGCCCACAGAACAAATTTTGATTGTAAAGATATTTATGAAAAAAACTACATTTTTATTTATAAGTTTGCCCCCCTGAAAATTAGGCTGGATCCGCCCCTAAATAAAGGAAATCATTGTGGTATTAGAATGGATCAAACTACACTTCATGATCACTATTATGATTTCCAGAAAGCACTTGAAGTGCAGAACAATATTTGAAGATAGATACAATGAGAGAGAGAGAAAATTTTCTTTGTATTGGAGTTATTCTCCTTCACATTCATTTTTTTAGTCTGCCATTTTAAACAGAATCCTGCTCATTTACATCCACGCAACAAAAACTACTAATGGAATGAATTTCATTAGATTGCATAACGATTAAGTTCCCATCAAGCATGTATTGAAAATGAGGCTGATCTGCCATCCAAATAGTCTACGCAATAACATATTGGAATAATATGTGCCAATACTACTGGGATATACTGTTATTATATGTTTTCAACTCTGTTGCCATGAGCTTTTGCTACCTTCACAACTGATTGTGGGCTCCGAAAATTTGCACCTCGGCCTCTCCGCTGACCCCTTCCTTTTTCCTTCGGGTCGTTGAGGAGAGTTTTAACGAATATGTTCCGAGGCAAATTTTCAATAGGCAAATTGAATTATAGATAAGACATTAATCAGAGATATTGCCCTCATTTTACGAGGACTTTATGATCTGAGTTCAGGTTTCTTTGAATTGGAACTGCCATGACTAGAGGATAGACCAGATATTGCTATGTTGTTGAATACATCTTGGCAAGCATCATCTCAGATAAATCGAGTATTCTTCATAAGCTTGGAGAAAGCTTGATATCTTCCAAATAGATTCGATATGAACCTTCAGATGTAAGAAGATGACCCTAAGAAGAGTTAAGCTTCCATAAATTATTGGAATCTTTAAAGTCCTTAATCTTTGGGAATTGATTTGATACCTCGATGGTAAACCATGAAACCCAATAATTTTCTAGATGAAACTCCAAAGACACATTTAAGAAAGCTTTTTCAAGCTAAATTTGTTGAGCCTCTCAAGCATGATCTTAAGGTCATCAAGATGCTTCGAGTGAGCTTAGCTTTGGACTAATAGATCATCACATAGAAGTCAACCCTCTTGTATAGAAGGTTATAAACGAGTGAGCTTAGCTTTGGACTAATAGACCATCACATAGCATTCAGCCCTCTTGTATATTAGTTTATTATAAAAGAAGAAATATATTCTTCAGAACAAGTGGCATCATTAAATAGCAAAAAATGTCGATTGGTATTTTGAAGGATGCTTCCTTTTGAACATTTGATACCCTTTTGATTTGAGTGTAGCCAAACAACAAGTTTATGAACAAGAAAATGTTATGAGTTGACAAATTATTGACCGTTAGTTCTACAATTAGCATAGGATGTCATCTTTGAGGCATGCTTCAATGTCCCGAACCGAAAGTTGTTGAAAATACAAATTAACAACTCTTCTTCACAAGGACATTTTTTACCATTGACTTAGCATACTTTTCCACCAATCATCTATTTCAATCAACTTTATGGCCTCAATAGTGATCTTTTCTTTGATTTTGAGACATTTACCTCAATGGTTGTTTGATGGGCACTATTTCAAGATTAATGGCAAGTCAATCCACCACTTATGAGGTAGTCTTATTATTCGTAGTCCTTCTACAAGCTTGAGATTGAATTGAATAACTTCAAGCTTTGGCTTAGATTGAGATTGAATTGAATGACTTCGAGCTAATCATAAGCATAGCCCAATTAGAGAATAGCAAGCTGACTATCCTTTTGATAGAGATAGATGCCACCTTTTTGGCCTGATGAAGGGTCCCTAATATGAATCCAAATCCTCCTCGGATTGCATCTTGGAAGTGTAGGGCTTGTAGGTGGCCTTATGTTGCAGGAGGAAGACCTCTACCTTTTTATTTTTTATGTCACTCCCCAGATAAGGAACAACTAGATGTGGAATGCTAGTATTGATATTTTTGAATGTTAATATGGTCTTCATGCCCTTGCCTTCTATTTTCCTTTTGCTTCTTTTTTTCAAACTTGTTGACCTCAATGACTGCTCTAAGATCAGCCCAACCAACTACAACGAAGATGATGAGCAAAATACACAGCGTTCTGCGAGCATCATCCAAAATGAATAGACCAAAAGTTGAAACGGTGTTTGTTTGTGTACACCCGTGAATACCTATGGAGGTACCTGTTCGCAAGTGTCTTGCAGGTCATGTTCAGGTCAAGCGAAAGGAGGATCTACTTCTCTTTTAGAGTAGTTCGTTCAAGGGATTTACTCGGGAGCTCGAAATGAGCTTAACACTAGAGCATGATGGACTAGCACCGGCCACATCTTCCAAGTAGTCACTCCTAGGCGAGGGCAATCTCAAAAGTTCCTTTCTCAGATAGACAAATCTTTATTCATCTCAGCTAGAGCCAACACTCCCACGTGGGACACATCAAACAACGGGCGATAAACGCTGCCCTTATAGACATTTCTAGCAACCAGATCGATCTAAAGGCCTCGCCAAGACATCATTCGCTCTTATCACCTCACAACAGGGCAACCTAATATTCCACATCAACCCATCCTCCTGACTACATGACGATGATACTTGTCCTCCTCTCAGCCAATGATGGCAAGTCTCCATAAGCCTATTTGACTCGCCCCTCTCAATCACCATTCCACTCGACACCGACGACCGACCTACAACATAGACTGATAAGACATCCATCATGTCAAAGATGTACCTCATTCAACTTTTTAGACTCTATAAAAGGGGAGGATGGAGGAAGAAAGAAGATATTTTAAGATCCTCAAATAGGGCATCCTCACAAGAGAGTGACCATAAGAAAGAACCGCTGGAGGGAAAAAAGAGAGGTTATTTCTTTCTTTGTAATCTAAAACCCTAACATTTCACATGTTTCTATCTCTGGTCTGGATAATAAAGATTTTGACTAGATTTATATAATCTCTTATCTTCTCTCTCTCTCTCTCTCTCTCTCTCTCTCTTTTCGTATTCATACTTCTCTCATGCTTTTCGACTAGCGGTGGCATATAGTATGGCCCGACATCATCCACACGACAAAATGGAGTTCAACATCCTCCTAGGTGCGATGAGCATGGATTAATGTCGAAGGCAAGAAAACTGCTGCATGTCAGGCAACCAAACACCCTGGAGATTACCGAGAACTGTGAATATACTAATCACCGATAATTGCAAGAGATGGAAGAGTAGTTCTTAAAATCCATTCAAGATGCTCTCGCTTCCGCCAACCACCAGCCGTGAATGGTCAACATGCCTCAAGAGCCAACTAATCCCAGTGCTTGCCGAGAGCCTCTGGTAGAAGTGCCTGTACCAGCCACTGACCCCGCTTGTCCCCAGGAGAGAGATGAGAACTCCAATCCAATAGCTAGGAGGGCTAGAGAAATTGAACCAATGTCAACAAATGCCTTCTCTAGATTAATCTCCGAAGCAAGGATGCCTCCCAAGTTTAAGGTACCTTATCTAGAAGCCTACCAAAGAAAACTAACCCCACGAATCATGCGGAAACATTCGAGATCATGAGCTCTCTTCTTGACATTGACAATGCCCTCCAATGTTGTCTCTTTTTTACAACTCTGAAAGACTTTATGCTAAGGTGGTTCACTCGGCTACCCAGTGGGGTGATCACCTTGTTCCCTAAGTTCAAACAAATGTATTTCGTACAGTTCGCCAGTTCCCAAAGATCCCCAAAAAACTTCCAAGTCCTACTAAAGATGATGTAAGAACCTAGCGAGTCACTAAGAAACTTCATATTGAGAATCCAAAAAGAGATGCTCAACATCAAAGACCTCGAACCAGCAGTCGCCCAGGGGCTGAAGAAGGCCCTTTCTGATACGATATGGGCATATAGCAACCAAAAACAATCAATCTCCTTATCCTTCTCTCCAACCCATTTAGTTTCCAAAATATATAGAATATTTATCTTCATATGAATTATAATATATATTAATTCTATTAATTTACATTTAAGAGAACTTATATTCTAAGTTCCTATATCCTAGTTCTAGTTTCATGGACTAACTCCTTTGCACATATCTGTTTATAATTTGGAAGTATTGCTTATTTAACACTGCACCCAGGACGTCAGTGCAGCAGCCCTTGCACACTTCTCGGTATATTCAGGTCATACAATGCATTGTTCCCACGGAACACCCTAACATTAACACAATGTAATGAAGAATTCATGTCATAATTATTTGACAAATTTCACGTTGCTTGTCGACTATCTAACGAACTCTCTACTTTTCTCATCTAGAATTTAGGATTTGGCAACAACAGTGTTTATATATATTGTAGTTCGTCCATAGCTGCCGGTGTTAGGGCATCCCTCGAGATTTTGACCAAACTATCAACTTCCCACCAGGGGCGGAACCAGCCTTTCATATTAGGGGGGGCAAATTTTTCTTAGTAATAGACTAATATAAGAAAAACAAAATGAGAACATAATTCAAACTGAAATCTTGTATTTCATTATGATAGGAAAATTGTAAATAATTACAATTTTATTAATCCATTTTGCATTTTTTGATAATATTGGATAACATCTTCATTGGGAATTAAATCAAACACATCTTTTTCGTTAAGAACAGAGTAAAAAAACAGCACAACCGAAGATTTAGAACCAGTCGCGTCGTTAGGCGTTCGCGAGTCGCGGCATTGCGTTATAAAAATTGGAGGAGAGGGGAAAATTACCGAAGATAAAAGCTGCGACTGTCGCCTCCTCCGATTCGAGCGTCAAGAAGGAAAAATCAAGAGGAAAGCCGGAGATTGAATAGGGCGATCGCTTTCGCCGTTCGGAGCTTTCGGAGGAGAGGGAGAGGTTTTATGTTCCGGTTCGGGATTTAGGCGGAATAGGCGAAATTGGGCAGTAAAATCAGATTTTAGGGCAAATTTTAAGCTATTAGATGGGCAAATTACCTAACAGCCCTTACACTTAAATGAAATTTACATTTTTTTGGGGGGCAATTGCCCCCCCCTGCCGCTACAGTGATTCCGCCCCTACTTCCCACAATCGAGTAGCAGCAAGCCTCCATGCAACTTTATATGGCGAGAAGAAACTAAAGTCCTTTTTTGGCTAAAGGTGATAGAGTGGAAGAAGGCTCAACAATATTTTACCTTTAAATTTAAAGGCAAATGTTTATTCATAGAAACTATCGAGCACTTGTTATACTCAGGGTCTGTTTGAGTATGCTTTCTCGATGCTTTACTTTTCAGATAGCAATCAAAATTTTATTTGGCTATTATTTTTTTACTGTTGTTTAGAAATTTCTATGGAACATTGCTTTCTATAACTAAAGTAGCTAAGGGTCTATTTGAGACAACTTTTCTACTGCTTTGTTTTTCAGATCATAACCACGGTTCTATTTGACTACAACATATGATTTGTGTGTAATCTATAGAAATTGATTAAATTATATATACATGTGATACGGAATGCATACATACAAAGAAAGACTAGTTAGACTTTAGATTGGTTAGTAATGTTTTATTACTTACTCAAGGAGGTGAGCTCATAGGTTTTTTCTTAAAATCTACAGGTGGTTGGTGGTAGCCTTATTTTTGGAAATAAGTTATAAGGCTAACTCTATCATCTGATGGCCTTGGTATTTTGCCTCCTGAATTCATTTTGAACTATCTTTGAAAAATATTGTTTATTAATCTTACTTGCATGAATATTGAGAGGTGATTATTTATTTCTATTCAATTATTTTTAAAATATGATACTTACAAAATCTATTTCTAATTTGGTATATGCTTTAGATTATCTGGCATTCATAGCATATAAACTTTTACTTTGACATAATCTATATCTCATGATATATACAAGCACTTCTGCATGGCTGTAGGTTTCATGTAATATTAGTTTCCAGGTTCAAGGATGCCTACGTGAGTGATGGTTGAGAAAACACTTACCAGAGTGGCCTCATCTTGCAAGCATGTTCCATCCAGCAGCATCAAATGAAATAATGCCAATGCTTTATCAAACTAAGAACTTTTAATATAGCCTGACACTATTGCATTTCATGAGAAAACTTTCTTAAATGGCATTATATCATACAGTTCCCTGTCAGATTCCATGTTCCCAGCATTGGCATTAGCAACAATCATGGCTGTCCATGAAACAACATCTTTGTTCCATAGTTGCTCAAAGATGAAGTTCTCAAACTTAACATCACTAACAGCTGTATATCCTGTGATTATAGCTAGCATTCCATGAATGGTGTTCCTCATTTCCATCTGGTTAAAGAAAGACCAGGTAAGAGCCATGCCTCAAGCCTTTAAAAGAGCTGTAATAATCAAATTCCATGACTTTATGTTCCTTATTGGTATCAAGTCCAACAATTATCCCAACGATTCAAATAGGTACAAACCATGGAGACCCAAGTCCATACTTAACCAATTGAGCATGAATCTGCTTACAACAACTCAGGCGCACAAGAAGTCTGCAGGCTTTCAGCAGAACAGTAAAGGTGAAGTCGTTAAGAGAAACACCGAAAATTCTCATTTTGTTGTAACTTCTAAAGGTATCAAATTCATGTCCATTTTGAGTGAAGCATCTGATCATAGCATTACGGGAAACCACATGTGGAGACTAAGAACTTCCAAAGATTTGGATGTCATAGTCAAGAGAATTGAAAACTGAAAAGTTATCCATGACCATGGAAAGAAGATTGTTGCTATGCCCAAGGCCATTGACTAGGGTTTGAAGATAAATTTGTTCAACTCCCTCAAATCTATGACGCCTTGAAGGGTTCTAATCAGCATCTGCTTCACTTCAAAAATGAAAAAAACTGCCCAGTCATTAATATATTATCGTTACTTCCCTCCAATGGGTATCTTCATCATTTAATAGAGAAGGATTAGGTGTTAAGAATCACAATTCCATTAATCCCTTCGGCTTGTGATCTTCACAATCCAACTTCACGACCTGCTTTCTTCCACTTAATTTTTTATTCAAGGCCGCATCAGACCTACATCTTATGATCGACAAACCTGAGATTCCAAGCTAAAGGCAACATTAGATTGTTGTTTCGTCTCCCCTAATCCAATTCTACTGCAGCCTGGTGTCTTAGATAACTTATTTTCCACCATCTTCCTCCTTATATTCTCAGCTCTCTCCCATTTTTCTGATGCAGCATAAATATTTGACAGCAAGACATACTCTGCATCATTAACTGAAGAAATGCTGATATTTTTGTTGTTTGCTTCAAGAACCACCTGATCTGCCATCTCCATATCTAAATAAACTCTGCATGCACCAAGCAAAGTCCCCCAGACCACCTCATTAGGCTTCATTGGCATCATCTTGATTACATTATAAGCATCAGCTAGCCTGCCTGCTCTACTAAAGAGATCAACCAAACAGCCATAATGCTCCACTCCGGCCTTCAAACCATATTTGTGCATTCTCCCAAAAATCTGTAGACCTTGCTCCACAAATCCTGCATGTGTGCAAGCAGAAAGAACCACAAGAAACGTGACTGAATTAGGCTTCACTTCGGATGCTTCCATCTGAGAAAAGAGCTCAAGAGCTTCATCACTCCGTCCGTGAGAAGCGAGACCAGATATCATTGAATTCCAGCATGAATCATTCCTTATAATCATTGCATCAAAGATTCCTCGAGCTTTGTCAAGGTCCCCGCACTTTGCATACATATCAACCAGACCATTCTTGACAAAAATGTTCATCTTGATCTTCTTCCTTCGAATAAAATCATGTACTTCTCTGGCAGAATCTATGGAACCAAGCTGCGAACAAGTCGATAATACACTTGAAACTGTAAACTCATCTGGTTCAATTCCAAACCCTTGCATTTGTCTAAAAGCTTCCAAAGCCTCATCACAAAATCCCAACTTTGCATACCCTGCAATCAATGAATTCCAATTGATCAAATTTGGGGTTTGAATTCGATTAAACAGAGCTTTTGCCTCGGGAGCATCACCCTTCTTGAAGTATCCAGTGATCATAGATGACCAGACAAATGCATTCTTGACTGGCATTTCCTCAAACAATTCCCTCGCAGCATCCATCTCACCATTGGCAGCATAACCATGGATCATGACAGTCCATGTAACAACAGTCTTCATCCATGGTGGGGTTGAATTAAACATTTGTCTAGCAGCCACGAGATTCTCAATCCCTGCATAGCCTTCAATCATCACAGCCCATGTCACCGGTGTCCTTCCAGGAGCCAAATGGAAGAGTGCAGAAGCAGATACTAGATCACCATTCATAGAGTAGCCCCCAATCATGGAATTGTATGTGACTAAATTTTTAACAGGCATTTCATCAAACACCTTCCGAGCAAGAGTTATTTTTTTGCATTTGCCATACATTGACACTAATGTTGTCCCAGTGAGAAGTTCATGAACAGTACCGGCTTTGATTGACTCTGAATGTAGAGATTTGCCAAGCACAAGAAGATAATGGGAGGCGCATATCTTAAGAATGAGAGGAAGAAAGGATTGTTGAGTTCTAAATGGTAGATTTTGGGTGTAGACAAGAAGCGCTTCCATGGCAAAGCCATGGGAGAGGTAGCTTCTAATGATTTCAGCCCATCCTGCAGAAAAATTAGCTCCTTGGGTTATGTGGAGTGCGTGAAGCCTCCGCATATTAGCACATCTTGCCCAGCCGTTTGGCTGAGTTAAACGTCATTCGCAATAGCCTCCGCAATTCCGCATTATATTTGGCGAGAATATAATCAAACTCGCCTTCTCAAATTCCATTTATGTATTAATACTTAGTTTATGTGATAGAAAACATATTTTGTCTCAAAATAAAGATTTCTCGAGCACCTAGTTTCAAAAACTCGATTTTGTATACTTTTATGTTTCTTTCACACTCGTGCCAGTCTTCAAAACTTCTCAAAGGCATTTAATTTCTTCTAATTATATTTTGTTTCAATAAATAATTTAGGATTCAATTGAGATAGCTTTCATACTACTTTCTAAATCAACCTTTTAATAAAAAATTTATAGTTTAACTTTTGCAATAAATAATTAGTTTAAAAAGTTGTCCCAAAGGAAGCCTTATTCAATCAAGCATAAATCTCAATGCAACATTTGATTAAGAAACTTTTAGATTTAAATCTAAAAACATATGAACTTTAATTTTAGTAAATTTATAGCCTAATTGAATATTTTTATTGGACAAAAAATTGACATAAAAAGTGATATGATCTGACAACAAATAACTCAAATCAAGTACTTGAACGGCCATGGTTGAAATTTTTGTTATATTAATTGAAGGTCTAAATAATCGTTTAATCTCCCATACTAATATTCAAAAAGTGCATTTAATGATTGGAATCCATTAATCCTAAAATCACTTAATTTTGAGATTATTAAGACACTTAAATTCTAAAAGAATTATTTATAATCAAGAGAATTATTATGAGCAATCTTATATGGTGTTTATAAAGTTTGGCTAAAATTGCTAATAAATCACTTCATAGAACTCTAAATAGATCCTAATTATCCACATAAAAAGGCGCATTAACTTAATTAAAGATACTTTGAATATTTAAAGAACTCTATAGCTCCACCTAACATCTGGCACCAATGATCACTACTAGCAACGACTATCACTTGATCGCCATCTCTTGGCATTCGTCACTCGACCATCATTTTCCAATCATCATAACTCATCTATGATCTCTTAACCACCGTCACTTAACTATGATCTCTCAATCACCATAACTTGAATATTAACCTTCTAATTTTATATATGATATTGCTGACAACATTGACGCACATCATCGCCTATAAAATTGATATACACCATATATAAATTATATATGTATTATTGTTGCGAGCTTGAATATACGCGGCGATAGAGTTTTAATTATACGTCTTAGCTTTGTACGGATATCCAGCTCACACACAGAGAACACAAGATTTTTTATGTGGAAAATCCTTGAAAGGGAAAAAACCACGAGGCATAGCCCAGTTGAAAATGATTCCACTAGAATATAAGTCAGTTACACTGAGCTGATTTGCCTCCGAGGGCGATCAGATTACAAATAACAACTGTACGATAGAAGTCCGGGTGTCAGGTGATGGTCTGGTAGAACTTCGGGCCTCAGGTGATGGTCTGACGAAGGTGAGGGCCTCTTACGAAGGTGAGGGCCTCTGGCAAAGCTCCGGCGGTGGTCCGGCGAGGTTCTGGCAGTGGTCCGGCGAGGCTCTGGCGGTGGTCCGGCGAGGCTCCGGTGGTGGTCCGGCGAGGCTCCAGCTAGGGTGAGGGACTCAATTGGTGGTCCGACGAGGCTCCGAAGGTGGTCCGGCGAGGCTCCAGCGGTGTTCTGGCGAGACTTCTGCGGTGGTCCGGCGAGGTTCCGGCGGTGGTCGAGGAGGAGCTTCTTCCTTCTCTTCTCTTCTTGCTTGGGTCCCTTTTCAAGAGAAATGAGGTGTCTATTTATACATTTTCTGGAGTGGCATGGCCCGTAAATAGGTGAGAGATCAAGGGTAAATGGGGAGTGCTTGGATGGACGGCCGATATTAAACCCCTTGATCATGGACCGTTCGTCATGCATTTGGAGGCCTGTATCAATTATATATATATATATATATATATATTATAACAACATCATTAATTTTTTTTCAATATTATATATGATATTTTTTAAAAAATGAGAAAATTTTATTACGAGATGCATGACAGTTTAAATAGAAATTTATTTAGAAAAGATAAATATTTAGTTATTTGCTGGCAATAGAGACTATATCAGCTTATTGATATATATTTTAGGAATCTCAATGATAAGAGAATCCAGTGAGATAAAGAGTTAACATGGATCAATCCAAGATTCATGAATGAAGCTAGCTAGGGATAAAATATCCACTTAACTACATGTGTTAGCATTAATAACAGACGTCCAAATTCAAACTAAGATGATTAAATCATCTTGATGTAGATAATATACTCTTAAAATCAGAATTATTAAAAAATAATTTGATTTTTTTTTCAAATTATTATGTGCATGAGGATAAATAGGTGTGGTGATATTCTTATAATAATATTAATAATTTCAATAATTTTCTTTTCATAAATCTTTTGATTTCCTATATTATTAACTACCATACACAATTGATCAAGTGATTCTGATAAACTAATTAAATGCTCAAGCTCTTATTTTAGATGAAGATTTTTTTTTTTCCTATCAAATACTCTGCTGAAAGGTGAAAGTTACAATATTTGAGTTTGGACTTCATTGTTTTGGCCTTTTAGTGACTTTAACCACTGGCCTGAGATGTTTAATACTTTGAATCTCCATTCAAAAGTTAGCCATGAATGTATTTAATGAAGCATAATCAGTTGTTTCGTGGTGTTGTTGAGATTATTGATCTTTCTGAGATGAACATTTTTTAGTCTTTTGATTACTCATATTTTTTTTGTCAGGGAGGCCTATCAAATATCAATCTATTATTATGATTCTAATATTTACTTGAATATTATTCAAATTGCTTCTGATAGGTGTTAATAATCTTATCAACAAATATTTGTGCTTCGACTAGAAGAACAAGATTAATAAAGGAATGAATTCTCTGGTATGAGTGAAGAGTATAAATGGTCTCTCTCTCATTTCAGAGAATATAAAAAAATTAGAGGAGTCTTTAATAATCCTTTAATTTGTAATGAACTATTTAATGAAAGATTTAATAAGATTGGAGTAGCTGTGGCCGAATAGTCCTACTAGAAATAGAGAACAACTACAATTAGGCTTGATTCTTGAGAGTGTCACTACAGAAAACTGCTTATTTCCGGCGGATGTTCCGACGGATCTTCATATATCGTTTAAAACGGCGATTGAACCGGCAGATATTTCGCCAGAATATTTCCGGCATATATTACGCTGGTACGTTTCCGTTGTATATGAGTACGCCGGTTAATTCGTCAGTGATTTTGTTATACCGACAAATAATTCGCCGGAAATTATCGGCGAATTAGCCGCCGACTTATTTAAACACAACAACTGATCATTACCGGCGTATATTTCACCGAAAACCTGACCGGCGTATTATCTGTCGGTAATTCCGATGGAACGAGACCTATTTCCTAGCTTCGGCCCATTCCTTCTCATTTTCTCTCATTTGGTTCTTTGTTCGTTGTCTAGCTGCGACCGATGCCTCGCCAACCTTAGCCGACCGTTCGCCGTTGTTTTTGGCTTCCGCCACCGTTCTTGGCCTCCGCTGCTATTAAGGTGAGCTGATCTTTGTTCGCATGTATCGGTTCTCGCGACTCCATCCGTCTCTTATGGTAATACTTAAAGATACATTCTTTTTGCTTCAGTCATGGATGTTCTCACTAGACATTTGCAAGAGATAGTTCCCTAGTGTATGCTATTTGCTTATGATATTCTTATTATTGATAAGACTAGAGAGGGAGTTGAAGGTAAACTTGAATTATGGATGTGAACCTTAGAGTCTAAATGCTTTTATTTGAGTAGATCTAAAGCTGAATATATGAAATGTAATTTTAGTAATAATAGTTTTTTTTTTTTTTTTTTTTTTTTGGGGGGGGGTGGGAATATGGGATTGGGAGAGCGGGGGGGGGGGGGAGGATTGTGACTTTGGGTGATCAATTCATTAATAATAGTAAACATTTTAGATATCTTTGGTCTATTTTTAAGAGTGGTGGTGAAATAGATGGGAATATTATTAATAGAATTCAAGTTGGATGGTTGAAGTGAAGGAATGCATCGAGCTTGTTGTGTGATAAAAAAGTCTCCCTCAAACTTAAGGAAAAATTCTATAAGATGGTGGTTAGACCTGCAATGCTTTATGGTGTATAATATTGGCCATTAAAAGAGAAGCATAATATCCCGCCAGTACGTTCGCTACCATACAATACCATGACTTATAATGGCTATTAACAGCATAATCGTGTGTCAGTAATACATGTGGCGTTTACGCTGGTATATCCGTCAAATTGATATTTGATGATAATTTTGGTGTATGTTCCGCCACTTTTTTCGACGTACTTTTTCGTCGGAAACAGCGGCGGAACATACGCCGGAAAACGACATCCGAAAATAGACAGATATGTCTAATATTTATGCCGGCATTTAGCGGGAAGTACAGCCGGAAATGTTTTCGGTGAAATGTTTACGTCGATATTCTATTTGCACCGCTCGAATTACCGTCATATGGTTTTTCACCAGAAATTCGTCAGAAAATCATAATTTCCGACGTTTTTTATTATTACCAGCAGATATTGTCCGTCGGTAATCATCTATTTTCATGTAGTGTGTTACGGAAGACCAAGCAAATGAGTGCATTAGAAGTCTATTGGATATTCATGATTGTTCAATAGTGCTCAAAATGCCCGTAAGGATCAGAAATCTATCATAAAGAGAATAGAGGGTAGTTTGAATACTACTAGAATGAGATGCTAGATAGTTACATAAATTAGAAGCAAATACTCTTAAAAATCCCAATAAGTAGTAAGCTAACTCCTCATTTCATAAAATACCATGAAGGTCATCCATGAGGTGAGGTTAGGTCAAGTCCACCAAAGTAATATATGATTATGAACTAGTCTAGCAATACTAAAAAGAACGGTTGAATTAATAATATTAATGAGATCTTGGTGAGGTTGTGGTATATAAGGAGTAGCAATATGATGAGATGGGTAACATTAAATTGAACAATCCTAACTTATTATTAATTTTGTGATGAGATATTTCCATCATGTTTTGATGATACTCGCTCTTAGCTAATCTCTTCTAAGAGCATAAATTTAGG